CCGAGGATGTCTCGCGCGTGCCGCGTCCCGCGCGCAGGAATTTTGAGGATGCCGAGGGTACAGTCAACGCGCCTAGTAAGGACGCGCGCCTTCATCTAGGGTACCCTTGTGTCCTTGCCTCTGAGACTCGTCCTCGCCATTTTCACTGGTCGCCCGCCGCCCTAAAAAACCCAACTTCGGCCTCCAAGGGTCTTGCGTCCTTATCACCCGTCCTTAATCTACGTTTTGACTGTACGGACGGGGAGATGTCTTGGTGAGGATGCTTATTTTTCATAATTTGTTGAGGATGTCTCGAGCGAAACGCTGGTTTTGCAAAATTTGGGGATGTCTCGAGCGGGGGCCTCGTGGGTGGCCAGAACTCAAAGGATGCCTCAGGCGAAGTGCTTGTTTTCACGTCCCGCTCGCAGGAATTCCGAGGATGTCTCGCGCGTGCCGCGTCCCGCGCGCAGGAATTTTGAGGATGCCGAGGGTACAGTCAACGCGCCTAGTAAGGACGCGCACCTTCATCTAGGGTACCCTTGTGTCCTTGCCTCTGAGGCTCGTCCTCGCCATTTTCACTGGTCGCCCGCCGCCCTAAAAACCCAACTTCGGCCTCCAAGGGTCTTGCGTCCTTATCACCCGTCCTTAATATACGTTTTGACTGTACGGACGGGGGGATGTCTTGTTGAGGATGCTTGTGTTTCATAATTTGTTGAGGATGTCTCGAGCGAAACGCTGGTTTTGCAAAATTTGGGGATGTCTCGAGCGGGGGCCTCGTGGGTGGCCAGAACTCAAAGGATGCCTCAGGCGAAGTGCTTGTTTTCACGTCCCGCTCGCAGGAATTCCGAGGATGTCTCGCGCGTGCCGCGTCCCGCGCGCAGGAATTTTGAGGATGCCGAGGGTACAGTCAACGCGCCTAGTAAGGACGCGCGCCTTCATCTAGGGTACCCTTGTGTCCTTGCCTCCGAGGCTCGTCCTCGCCATTATCACTGGTCGCCCGCCGCCCTAAAAAACCCAACTTCGGCCTCCAAGGGTCTTGCGTCCTTATCACCCGTCCTTAATCTACGTTTTGACTGTGCGGACGGGGACATGTCTTGTTGAGAATGCTTGGTTTTCCCAACCATCCTGTGGTGTTGGGTCCTCGTTTTGAAGAGACGGTGCCCCGCGTCTCCTCCCGCTGCCCCCTCCTCCTCCCCCTCCTCCCTCCCCCCTGCGTTTCACCCACCCAGTACAGCGTTTCGTGGCCCCATAGGGAGCTCCACCGAAGGCCCCAGTGGCAGGGTTCGCATGGCGGCCCCGCGTTTTGGCGCTGCCCTCACACGGTTCGTGGCCCCGTAGGGAGCTCCACCGAAAGGCCCCGGTGGCAGGGTTCGCATGGCGGCCCCGCACCAGTTTGGCGCACCCCTCACACGGTTCGTGGCTCCATAGGGGGTTCCACCGAACGCCCCAGTGGCAGGGTTCGCAGCCCCGCGCCATTTTGGCGCACCCCTCACGGTTCGTGGCCCCATAGGGAGCTCCACCGAAGGCCCCAGAAGTAAGTTAAGAAACAAAAGGAAAGAGAAAGCAGAAAGAGACAAAAAGTAAAGAAAGAAAAGAGGAAAAAACACGCGCAGAGGAAAAAACAAAAAGAGAAAAAAGAGAGTACGACATATTCCACCACGCCGCTCCTAAGAAAAGAAAAGATAAGAGAAAAGAGAAGAGATGAGAAAAATAAAGATCAGGAAAGAAAAAAAAGGGTAGCAAAAAAAAAGAACAGAAAAACCCCAAAGAGAAAAGAAAAAAAGAAAAATTAGAAAGGAAAAGGAAAAAGAGCGTGGTTCGATGGCGGCCCCGCGCCAGTTTGGTGCACCCCTCACACGGTTCGTGGCCCCATAGGGAGCTCCACCGAAAGGCCCCAGTGGCAGGGTTCGCATGGCGGCCCCGCGCCATTTTGGCGCACCCCTCGCACGGTTCCTGGCCCCATAGGAGGCTCCACCGAAGGCCCCAGAGGCAGGGTTCGCATGGCGGCCCCGCGCCAGTTTGGTGCACCCCTCATACGGGTCGTGGCCCCATAGGGGGTTCCACCGAACGCCCCAGTGGCAGGGTTCGCATGGCGGCCCCGCGCCAGTTTGGTGCACCCCTCACACGGTTCGTGGCCCCATAGGGAGCTCCACCGAAGGCCCCAGAGGCAGGGTTCGCATGGCGGCCCCGCACCATTTTGGCGCACCCCTCATGCGGTTCGTGGCCCCATAGGGAGCTCCACCGAAGGCCCCAGTGGCAGGGTTCGCATGGCGGCCCCGCACCATTTTGGCGCACCCCTCACACGGTTCGTGGCCCCATGAGTAATTCCCCTTGCTTCGTCCCACCTGCCCTGCGGTTTTTACACTTGCGTATGGTTGGGTCCTTCGCCTTGATGATTCATAATTTGTTGAGGATGTCTCGAGCGAAACGCTGGTTTTGCAAAATTTTGGGATGTCTCGAGCGGGGGCCTCGTGGGTGGCCAGAACTCAAAGGATGCCTCAGGCGAAGTGCTTGTTTTCACGTCCCGCTCGCAGGAATTCCGAGGATGTCTCGCGCGTGCCGCGTCCCGCGCGCAGGAATTTTGAGGATGCCGAGGGTACAGTCAACGCGCCTAGTAAGGACGCGCGCCTTCATCTAGGGTACCCTTGTGTCCTTGCCTCTGAGGCTCGTCCTCGCCATTTTCACTGGTCGCCCGCCGCCCTAAAAAACCCAACTTCGGCCTCCAAGGGTCTTGCGTCCTTATCACCCGTCCTTAATCTACGTTTTGACTGTACGGACGGGGAGATGTCTTCGTGGCTCGTGGCAGCCCGCAGCGGGGAGGCTCGTGGCCCGTGGCGTGTCTTCGTGGCTCGTGGCGTGTCTTCGTGGCCCGTGGCGTGTCTCCGTGGCGTGTCTTCGTGGCGTGTCTTCGTGGCGTGTCTTCGTGTCTTCGTGGCCCGTGGCATGTCTTCGTAGCTCGTGGGGAGGCCCAGGCGTCCACCGGCAGGCCCGTGGCAGCCCGCGGGCGGCACCCGCGGGCCCGCCCCGCTCCCCGGGGGCACGTCGCCGCCCCGGGCCTGCTCTCTGAAGGCCCTGGGGCCCCGAGGAAACGTGCCTGGACTGAAATGGTACGAGGAGGAGGAGGAGTCGGAGTCGGAGTCGGAGGAGGAGGAGGAGGAGGAGGGGGAGAGGGGGAGGAGGTGCGAACCCTACCTCACCCCCCGCCCCTTGCTCCCCTCCTCTTGCTCCTCCTCTACCTCCTCCTCCTCCTCCTCCTCCTCCTCCTCCTCCTCCTCCTCCTCCTCCTCCTCCCCCTCCTGCTCCTCCTCACCATCGTTTTCACCTTCGTCGCCTTCAGGGTCGGCGGCACAGGCCGCAAGGCCTTCGCAACAGTACTAGGGGGCAACATGCGAGCCCCACCCCCTCCCCCCACGATTTCTGAGGGGGAGGCTGGGCTTCACTTCGCTGAGATCTCGGGAGAGCTCCCCGATATTTTCCCATTTTCTGGGGAAACATGCCTGAACTGAAATAGTGCTGAGGGGGCCACATGCGAGCCCCACCCCCGCCCCCCACGACTTCCGAGTGGGGCGGGTGGGCTTCACTTCGCTCGGGGGAGCTCCCCCAGCGACGCGCACCCCGCCCGCCCCGCTCCCCAGGGAGCACGTCGTCGCCCCGGACCTGCTTCAGCAGGCCCCGGATAAAGGGGGCCCAGGGGCACACAGATGAATACACCCGACTCCCGCGATTCCCCATAGTTTTGCACATTTTCTGGACATTTGTCTTCCCCCCCACACTGTCCATATTTTCCCGTGTTTTCCTGGGAAATATGCCTGGACTGAAATAGTATTGGGAGGCCACATACGAAGCCCACCCCCACCCCCCACGACTTCTGAGGGGGAGGGTGGGCTTCACTTCGCTCGGGGGAGCTCCCCCAGCAACGCGCACCCCGCCCGCCCCGCTCCCCCAGGAGCACGTCGTCGCCCCAGACCTGTTTCTGCAGGCCCCGGATAAAAGGGGCCCAGGGGCGCACAGATAGATACACGCGACTCCCACGATTCCCTTTAGTTTTGCGTATTTTCTGGACGTTCGTCTTCCCCCCCCACTGTCCATATGTTCCCATATTTTCCGGGGGAATCGACGAATCATTGTGTCGGTGTGTCGTAAGTTGTACGACGGTCGCATCACCCGCTGCTCTTCCGCAGGCTGTCTGGGCCAAGTCTCGAAGACGAGGGCTGGCCAAGCCGAGTCCACGTTCACAACGCGTGGGAGGCAGCACGGTATGATTTTTGATATGATTTGGAACTGCGAGGCCAAACTTGTGTTCGTCTTGATTCGTCCAAGACCCTGGGAGGCAAAATCAAACCTGAATGCGTAAGGCGGGCGTGTGGGGTCGTTGGGCGTGCGTATGAAGCGCACATTGCCGTGTATTGAGCATGCCTGGGTGAGTTTAGAATGGTCGTTTCGAGTATGGCCGTCTTGAGCATGGTAAGCTTGGGCCTGCCCGAAACGAGTTTAGAGCGGTGGTGTCTTTTCGAAAGCGTTCAAGAGGGGGGCGTCCGCAACAAGCAGGGGCGCAAACCATGGCCCCAGGCATGAGCGCGGCTCAGGGGGGGCCGGGGACTTAGAATAGGAGGAGGCGCCATCGAATCTGGTGAGATCTGGGGAGATATCATGGCCCCCGCCATGGCATCCCACCCCCTAGTCCTGACCCCCCCCCTTGGCCGCCCCCGATCAAAAAGGCAACCCGCGTCCCCACAACGAGGAGGCATCGCTGGAGATCTAGCAGCGGGCCGGGGCGAGGCGGGGCGGCCGCCGCGCCGAGGCTGACGACAGTCCCGCCACGACGGCGGCGACGACAGCGGCGGCGACCACGCCGACGACGACGACGGCGGCGAAAACGGCGCCGTGGACGACGACGACGACGACCCCGACAAAGGCGAATATGGCGATGGGCGGCGGCGGCCCCAAGTGCCGCGGGGGGGGGTGTCGTCGAGAGCAAAGAGAAATCGGCCAGGCGGCGCGGGGGGTGGGGCGGGGTGCTCCTCGGGCCGCAGCTCCCACCAATTCGGCGACACGTCGCTCCCGGGGAACCGCGGCAGCTGCCAGGCCACCTCGGCGCGTGGCGGGGGGGGCGGTGCGACCCGCTGTTTGCATGATTGCAACCAGGCTTTTTACCTAACAGCGAAGACTGATAGGTTTCTAATGGGCTAAAAAGAGAGCAGCAAATGACTCCACAGGGAGACCTGGGCGGGTGCCGGACAAGGTGCCGCAGAAGTCGCTTTAAGCAAACAGTCGCACACTTCGTGCTCTTCGACCTCCCAGAACTCCATTCCCGGGCCACATTCTGAATGCCCGGAGCCAACTGTAGGCCACTTCGTGCTCTTCGACTTCCCAAAACTCCATTCCAGGGCCACATTTTGAATGCCGGAAAGAGGAAAAAGAGACGAAAATGGATAGGAGAGCGGGAACAGAATGAGAGGGAAACAAGCATACATGAGTAAGGGAGGAAACAGGAATATTGGAAGAAAGGAGATTGGTAAGATAAGCATAGGGTGGACCGAGAAGAATGTGCTTAGGACAAGATAACTCGAGACAAGAGGGGGTAAGCCAACTGTAGGCCACTTCGTGGTCTTCGAGTCCCAGAACTCCATTCCCGGGCCACATTTTGAATGCCCGGAGCCAACTGTAGGCCACTTCGTGCTCTTCGAGTTCTCAGAACTCCATTCCCGGGCCACATTTTGAATGCCCGGAGCCAACTGTAGGCCACTTCGTGCTCTTCGAGTTCCCAGAACTCCATTCCCGGGCCACATTTTGAATGCCCGTAGCCAACTGAGGCTGAGGCAGGCTGCTGCTGAGTCAGGCTGAGGCTGAGGCTGAGGCAGGCTGAGGCTGAGGCAGGCTGAGGCTGAGGCTGAGGTTGAGGCTGAGGCTGAGGTTGAGGCAGGCTGAGGCAGACGCTGAGGCAGGCTGATGCTGAGGCAGGCTGAGGCTGAGGCTGAGGCTGATGCAGGCTGAGGCTGAGGCTGAGGAAAAGGTTGAGGCTGAGGCTAAGGTTGAGTCTGAAGCTGAAGCAGGCTGAGGCTGAGGCTGAGGCAGGCTGAGGCTGAGGCTTAGGCAAGCTGATACTGAGGCAGACTGAGGCTGAGGCTGAGGCAGGCTGAGGCTGAGGCAGGCTGAGGCTGAGGCAGGCTGAGGCTGAGGCATGCTGAGGCAGGCTGAGGCAGGCTGAGGCTGAGGCTGAGGCTGAGGCTGAGGATGAGGCAGGCTGAGGCAGACGCTGAGGCAGGCTGAGGCTGAGGCTGAGGCAGGCTGTGGCTGAGGCTGATGCAGGCTGAGGCTGAGGCAGGCTGAGGCTGAGGCTGAGGCTGAGGCTGAGGCTGTGGCTGTGGCTGAGGCTGAGGCTGAGGCAGGCTGAGGCAGACGCTGAGGCAGGCTGAGGCTGAGGCAGGCTGAGGCTGAGGCTGAGGTTGATGCAGGCTGAGGCTGAGGCTGGCTGAGGCTGAGGCCGAGGCTGAAGGCAGACTGAGGCTGAGGCTGAAGCAGGCTGAGGCTGAGGCCGAGGCAGGCTGATGCTGAGGCTGAGGCAGGCTGATGCTGAGGAAAAGGTTGAGGCTGAGGCTGAGGCAGGCTGAGGCTGAGGCTGAGGCAGGCTGAGGCTGAGGCTGAGGCTGGCTGATGCGGAGGCAGGCTGAGGCTGAGGCTGAGGCTGAGGCTGAGGCTGATGCAGGCTGAGGCTGGAACCCTGCTGGGCTGGGGCGTAGGCGGACCTAGTACTGTGAGGCAGGCTGATACTGAGGCAGGCTGAAGCTGAGGCTGTGACTGTGACTGCCGTTGCCACTGCGACTGTCATCGCGAATGCGACTGCGACTGCGAGAACAGGAGAATTCTACAACTGGATTCTCATATGGATCTTAAGGGGAATGTTTCCATATATGCTTCTACACATCGCTGTTAGGTTTCTTTGCCGGGATAATTTATGAACTTCCTAGCGATTGGAACGCTATCGATCATCAGTGTACTCATCATGTTTGTTCATCGTATTCATTATTTCCCACTGTTGTCTTTCATCGTATTCCCATTCCACATTCCTCCCCTCCCCTCCCTCCTCCCGCGCCGAGGTTCTCCACCTCTGGCCGGCATGCAGAGCGCATTCATCCAATCTTTTCGTCGTTCGAAGGGTCGCCCGACCCTTTGGCAAACAGCGCGGCGCCCTTTTGCGCGAAGGCCGCTTTGCACATATACGCGCTATTGAAACTCGTCACGAACCCGCGGCGCCGCCGTTTGCCCCAAACGAACAACAAGCACGCATAAGCTGGGAACGGGACATTTGCACTGGCGGTGGCGTCGCGAACTAAGCATTCCATCCAATACTTTAGCGCGCGCGCGGCAGCGCGGAAAGCCCGCGAACGCTGGGCCGGCGACGCGAGGGCGCGGCACTGGCGAGGCGCGCGCGCGTGCAAAAGAGCGCGGCTGAACGAATCGCTCCACAACCGAGGGGGGGAGCACGAGCAATATTGGCGTAACGGCGAAATTCAAACGATCTTGGGCGTCGTCGAAAAAACGCTTGCGACGCAGCGTCGCACTTGGCCCCGCTACCACTGACGGGGCGCACCCCGCAAACAACACAGCGCAGTACCCGCACCAGCGCTGGGCTCGTTGCCCAAAGGCTTGGCGAAGGCGCGAGCAGGGCTTGGAACCAAGGTTGCAAATAGGCCTTCTGAGGGTCGTTCGGCGACAGGGGGGGCGGGCGATAGAGGGGGAGGGCACTGGCAGGAAGTGAGCGAGGACTCAAGGGTGTAGAGAGCAAGGAGGGGGGAGGGGGAAAAGGGCGAAAGGCAAGCGGGCAAGGAGGGGCGAGAACACACGGAAGAAAGGGAACGAGGACAGCAAAGGCACAACATGGGGGGCGAGGGAGGGAGCGGGGGAGCATGAGGGAGGGAGCAAGGGGAAGGGGAAGACCAGGGAGGTGAATGGAGGGAAGTGGGAGGAACGAAAAGAGGGAGGAAACATGCAAAAGGGGGGTCGCAGTCCCGACAAGGCGCATACTTGACAACGCCCGCTCCGGTCCCGACAGGGCGCCTACTTGACAACGCCCGCTCCGGTCCCGACAGGGCGTTTCCTTGACAACGCCCGCTCCGTTCCCGACCGGCCGCAAACTTGACAACGCCCGCTCCGGTCCCGACAAAGCCCCTACTTGACAACGCCCGCTCTGGTCCCGACAGGGCGTTTCCTCGACAACGCCCGCTCCGCTCCCGACAAGGCGTTTCTTTGACAACGCCCGCTCCACTCCCGACAGGGCGCATACTTGACAACGCCCGCTCTGGTCCCGACAAGGCGCCTACTCGACAACGCCCGCTCCGGTCCCGACAGGGCGCAAACTTGACAACGCCCGCTCCGGTCCGGACAGGGCGCCTACTTGACAACGCCCGGTGCAATCCCGACAAGGCGTTTACTTGACAACGCCAGCCGCGGCTTTCAGCGCATAGCGTGCGCTACATAGCTTGCGTAACAGAACTCGCACCACATAGATTGCACCACATAGGTTACGCCGCACAGCTTGCATCCACATGGCTTGCACCACATCGCGTGCAACCCATATGTTGCACCACCTAGCTTGCGCCACAGAACTCACGCCACGTAGCCTGCACCACATCGCTTCGGACGCATAGATTGCACCGCACAGCTTGCGCCACATAGATAATACCACATAGCTTGCACCACGTGGCTTCCTCGCATAGCTTACACCACATAGCTTGCAACATGTAGCTTGCACCGCATAGCTTGCGCCACGCGAGGGCAGCAGCCTGGAATCTGGAGCACCGTCGGGACCCCCCGGGGCCATCCAAAAACCACCCGTCGGGCCACGCCCGGAGCCATCCAAAAACGCTGGCGCCCCCCCCCCGCCGCCATCCAAAACTGCGCCCGGGACACTCGAAAAAACGTCCCTCCAAAAATTATGCCAAACATTCGGCGAAAAACCATTTCGGATTCCATCGCATTTTTTTCCTCCAATTTTTTTTTAATATATATTGAAAGTATATATTATATTATATATATATTAAAAAGGATATCCCGTCGTTAAAACATTGGCGGAGAAATTGGCGGCCGTCCCCCGGGGCGCTCGCGGGGTCCCCCGCGGGGGAGGGGCGGGAGGGTGGAGGGGGAGGGTCGGTGGAAACCGAGGGAGGAGGTGGAGGGCGAGGGAGCGCGAGGGGGAGTCGAGGGTAAGTGTGGAAGGTGGGCGAGGGGGAATGAGGGAATATGAGCGAGGGTGGAAGAGTGGACGGAAGGTGAGGAAAGATGGGGGGCGGGGTGGGCGGGAGGAGGCAAGGCAAGTGAGATGAGGGAGGGCGGGGCGAGGGAAAATGGGTGAGGGCGGAGGGTGAGGGAGGGCGGACGGCGGGGAGCGGATGTGGGGGGGCGAAGGAAGGCGAACGCATGGCGCGGAAGAGGATGGGGGAGGGCGGAGGGGGGGGCAGGGCGGGGGAAGAGGGAGAAAGGGGGGGGCGAGGGAACGCGGGGGAGCGAAGAGAGGAAAGGGAGGAGGAACAAGGGAGGTGGAAGACAAGAGGAAGAAGGAGGGGGGCAGGAAGACGGAAGCAGGGAGAACGAGGATGAAGGAAGGACAGACGAGGGGCCGCGGAGGGGGGAAAGTGGTTGATGGGGGGGCGGGGAAGGGCAGGAGCAGGCGGAAGGGCGCAGGAGGGGTAGGGAGGGCCGAAGGGGGCAGGCGCCGGGAGAAAAGGCGCAGGAGGAGGGAAGAGGCAGGAGAGGGGACCACGTCGTAGAGACACCTGGGCTCTTGGGTTTCCTTAGGGTCCCTTGACACTGTCCTTCGGGGCCCCTGGGTTTCCCAAAGGCTCCCTCGGGGAATTCTAGAAGATTTCCGCAAATGCCCACGCCTCCCCGCGGAGACGCTGGGGAAGCGAAGGGCGACGTTCCAGAGAAGATAAATAATTACCCCGCCGACTGGTGAGGGAGGCCCCTGGGGGCTCCCCCGCTGGACTGTGGACGCCGGTGGTCGCGCCGAAAGGGCGGGGGCGCGTCGAAACGAGCGCCCGGCGATGAGTCGGGGGGGCAGGATCGTCACGGTTTGGGGCGCCAGCGCAAC